AAATATCAGGCACCCCATTTTTACATACACAAGTTTTCAAATTTTTGTTTTAAATTGTGGTATTGGGGCGCCTGGGTGGCTCGGTTGGTTCAGTGGCTGCCTTTGGCTCAGGTCATGATCTCGGGGTCCTGGGATGGAGACCTGCACTGCATGAGCCCTGCAGTGCATCAGGCTCCCTGCTCAATGGGGATCCTGCTTTTCTCTCTCTCCCTCTGCTCCTCCCCCTTGCTCATGCTCTCTCTCTCTCTAAATAAATAAATAAAATCTTTAAAATAAATAAATTGTAGAGATCTACAATATAGATCCACAGTAGACACAAAGACAGCTGGAACTGCAACTCTGAAATTTAACTTTCGCTGAAAGTTCATCAGACATTTCACAAAGATTCTCTGTCCTCTCAACCCTATGGAAAACAGCAATGGGGGAAGAAAAATACAACTATAAAGTGAACCTAATTAACCTAACCTACCACCTGGCACCCTATTTAAGTCATTTTTGTCTTGAAGCTTCCACAAAGGGGGAAAAAGGAAATATTGGAGAAAGGAAATGGGGGGGAGGGCAGGGAGCATGAGAAAGAAAGAGGAGCCACTAACAACTAATTCAAGTGCCAATCTGACTATCCAAAAATATAATAAAATGCTAGGAATGTGTAATATTCCAGAAGTAGAACCTGTCACCTCCTTCTTCCCCAGTCTCCATGTGACCACCAACATCAGACAGAACTCGGACTTCTCTATTTCAGTTAAGTCTATTTGAAAAAGATTTATACAAGAACATTCATCCAACTGGGATCTGAATTTAAATTTTCCCACACCAACAAAAACACTGACTCGGAAAGCGATCTGAATACCCACGTTCATAACAGCATTACTGACATTGGCAAAGACAGGAAAACAACCTAAATGTCCATGGATGAATGAATGGATAAACTTGTGGTGGGGGTGGGGGTGTGTGTATATACATATAAAATACACATATGATGGAATATTAGTCAGCCATAAAAAATGAGGAAATTCTACCATTTGTGACAACATGGATAGGCCTGGAAGGCATGTAAGTCAGAGAAAGAAACAGTATACAATCTCACTTATGTGTGGAATCTAAATAAACAAATGAAAAAACAAACACCATGCTCATAGAAAAAGAGATCAGACTTGTCGTTACCAGAGGCAGAGGGTAAGGTGAGGGGGAACTGCAGGAAGGTGGACAAAAGGCACAAATTTTGTTATAAGGAAATAAGTAGGAGGGATGTAATGTACAACATGATGACTATGAGTTGCCACTGCTATGTGATTTATAGGAAAGTTGATAAGTAAATCCTGAGTTCTCATCACACGGACATTTTTTTTCTTTCCTTTTTTTTTTCTTTTTGTATCTATACAAGAACGATGGACATGAGCTGAAACTATTTCAACAATCATTTTACAAAATATGTAAATCAAACCATCACGCTGTGTGCCTGAAACATAAACAGTAATGTATGCCAACTACTTCTCAATAAACCTGGAAAACATGTGTCATCATTATCCAGGAACAATTCACTGAGTGAACGAATAATTATTCTGCGAGGTCACCAAAATAAGTAAGAGTTTTAAGAGGCTCAAGAGTGAGTTATGAGCCTAATGTAGGCCCAACTTTTAAGCTCCAGAAACATCTCCCTGTATGTTCCAACTCGGATCCCTGTCCTCTTAACAACTCGGATCCCAGCATGACTTGAAACGCTTCAACACGTTTCCCTCCGTTTTTCCAGGGCTCGAAGGTAAACGGAAACCCACGAAACACATGGAGCTAGTCACCCCCAACACTACAAGAGCGCAACAGTTCTTAGGTCCCACCACACAGGCCACAGGTGGCGCCAGCCCCCCGCCCTCTGCCCCTTGCCCCAACTCCCCCGCTTCTCGCTTGCGCTCCCCGCACACACTCGGGGCGCCTTGGGCCTCGGGGCCGTCCTTCACGGTGGGTTCCGGCACTGACCCACCGTCCCCAGGCCCAGGTAGCTCCAGCGCAGGGAACCCAGGTCGGGGGGCCTCCGCCCGCCAGCCCGCGCGGCCGCCACGCCCCCTCCCCACGGGCCGCCCGCGCCGCCCGCCCCCTTGGCCGGGAGGTGGCCTCACCTAACGCGGGCCGTAGCGGGGACGGCGCCCGCGTCTCCGCCCGCCGCCCGGGCCCACGGCCGCTCGGCTGCGGCTCGGCCCCGACGGCCCGCGGCGGCGCGCTTCTGGGGGCGGGCTCTTCTCGGCGGGGGTTTCCCCCGGACCCAGGCGGGGGAGCAGGGGGGACTGGGGCGGGGGAGGGGAAAGGGGCTTGGGAAGGAAGGGGGAGAGGGAAAAAAGGGGGGAACCAAACCCGGAAAGGGAGAAAAGGGGGGAGGGGGAGAATCAGAAGGGGAAGAAAGGCCCTGAGTCCGCCCCCCGCTGCGGCCTGCGCGTTACGTCACCACGTCCGGCGTAGTCGTCAGCGCGTCCTGCGCCCCGCGCGTCCCTGCTTCCTCTGTGTCTCTCTCGGCTGCTGCAGACGCCCCCTATCTAGGCACCCACTCGCCCCACACGTTCTCTCTGGCGCACTTGCACAGGCTATATCTCGCTCCCTCCGTCGCTCCCTCTGCGTTACCTGTGCCTCAAGCCAGCAATCCAGATCCACTGCGATCCTCAGTCCCCCTTAAGTCCATCAAGCCTGTCAGAGTCACCCAAGATTTAAACATAATGCTAATTACTATAAAGTAATTTCAGTTTACAGAGCACGTTCAAGTTAGCCTTACACTCAGGACGGTAACTCCTGTAATAAATATTTGTAGTATAAATGGACAAAGATCATGTGGTAGGTGGATGTCCATTTTTCCAGATGTAAAAATTTAATTCTATAGAAAGCAGGTTTAAGTCCATCTTATTAAAATCACTTGGCCAATTCCTTCCAAGATCTAGTTCTTTCCCTTAAGAGTCACTTGAGTTTGCAACTTCCCCCGTTCTGTCCGTTCTAGGCAGAATCAATTTAGTTATTGACCAGATGTATTTGGATCATTTACTCACTGCCTCCCTCAAAGAAGCACTGTAGTCTTATGTTGATAGAATTTGGCTATTAAATATTTACTATGTTGCAAGAACTACAGGCAAAAAAAATAATTACAGTACAATGTAAATGCTATAAATAGAGATATGTTCAATGTGCTGTGGAAACAAGGAGCACAATTGGTTGTTAGAGGTAAGGGAGACTGAGTAAGCTACGGAGAAGTTACATGCTGTGTGCCTTAAACATACATAGTGATGTATGTCAGTAAATTCTCAATAGAATGGGGGAGATAGGATTCCCACACTTTTAAACACTTATATTATAGATCAGGCACTGTGTGCGATGCTAGGTATATAATAATATAAGCAACAAAGATGGCCGGCTAAGTGATTGCACTGCAGACAGAAATTGTGGGCCTGGCATCTAGGAAGGAAGAGTCCAGAAGGGCAAATACTGGTGGAGGTACTCTGGCCCACAAGCAAACCTGTGTAGCAGAAATAATAAACTTTTGTTAAGTCCCTGCTCTGTGCCAGTCATTGTCAGTGCTTTACAAAATTATTTAAATCTCAAAACTCTGAAATAATCAATACAGATCTATAATCCCATATTCAAAGTCCATCGGGCCAGCCATGTTTCAGAATTCAGAAAATTCCAAGTTTTAGAAAGGTAAAATGATACACATACTGTATATTTTATAATACCTCCAGGGGTATGCCATAATCAAATAATTTGTATCTCTGGAATAAAAATGTGTAAATAGTCTCAGTACAATTTTTTAAAAGATCATAGATAACCTCCCTTCTGTTCAGGTCACCATGAGAGTTACAAAAAACCAAAGTGGACTATGGGGGTTTTTTGGATTTTGTAATCATGGGCAATCATTTTTCCTATGTCTCCAAATGAAGAAATGAAAGCACGAGAGGTCAAGTAACTTGCCTAGAGTCACACAGCTAATAAAAGAAAGAGACAGAATTCTGACCAAGGTCATCTGATTTAAAAACCTATCCTCCTGGGGCACCTGGGTGGCTCAGTGGGTTAAGCCTCTGCCTTAGGCTCAGATCATGATCCTGGGGTCCTGGGATTGAGCCCCTCATCAGGCTCTCTGCTCAGCTGGAAACCTGCTTCCCCTTCTCTCTCTCTGCCTACTTGTGATCTCTGTCTGTCAAATAAATAAATAAAATCTTAAATAAATAAATAAATAAATAAATAAAGTCTTTTTAAAAAAAAAAGAAGAAGAAGAAGAAGAACTATCCTCCTAACTCCACCCACCATCCCTGCCGGATGAATCCTGGCTATGAGAGCCAAGGCCCTTCCCTGAAGAGCCACTGGTGAGGACCTTTGGAAAACCAGGGATTCTGAGAAATCTCAAAATTTCTTTTCCTAAGTAGAAGAATCCCCAAAGGGTGAGCAAATCTAGCTCTCAAGTCCCTTTCCCACCTTCAGACTTCCCTCTGAGGAAGCAGAAGACCAGGCTGAGAACACTTACCTTCCTTTCCCTTAGCCTTCATACTGGCTACTTTTGAGCCCAGTGGAGGGGGATGAGGGGAGGAGGTGTTGGTTAACAAAGGAGTCTGCATTATGAGCCTCTGGGAGGAAGAAAGGGAGCAGCGAGAATTTGAGAAGTACCTGGCAAAGGGAAATGAAACTCTCAACTATCTGCATGATAATGACATAAAGTGCCCTGCCAAGGACCCCTCTTGTTTGAGAGTCACTCTTTTAACACTCGGTCTTAAAACCTCTCATCTCTCCCTTTTCATCCAGGCTTCCCAGCAAGGCCTTTGATCTGAAGAGGAATTTCATCTCTAACCTTTGTACCCAGGCCCCCGCAGTTTACATGGGTAACCCACTGTCTCCCAATATTGGCCCAGGGACGTTTCTTTCCCGAAAACTAAACAACTCACATCCCCCACTCTGTACGTTCACTGACTATGTGTTGGAGACTTCTGCCAAGTCCTACCTGTTACTGGCTTCATCTCTCAAGTCAGATGTTTGGCTGCTCTATCCCCTGCAGCAAGGAGTCATGCCAGCTGGACACACTCTCCTTCCAGGGCCCCTGGCGGCCAGGTTGGAGTTGAGACCACAGCTGTTGAGATCCTGAGCCCCAGTTTTACGGCTCTGTCTCAACCATATCACTAAAAGAGGGCCTCCCCCAGCCATGATCTCTCCATTACTCCTGGCCTTCCTATTCCTGGCTCCGGCTACAGTGGCCATTCCCAGAGCTTCTGATAGCCAGTGTCCGGCATGTAGAGGACCCGCCGTGGACTTGGATCACCAGCGGGAGCTGCTTCTTGACCTGGCCAAGAGACGCATCTTGGACAAACTGCACCTCAGCCAGCGCCCGACACTGAACCGGCCTGTGTCCAGAGCTGCTCTGGGGACTGCGCTGCAGCGCCTCCGTGGGCCCCCACAGGGGACGCTTCCGGAGGCTGATGGGGAACAGGAGTATGAGATCATCAGCTTTGCTGACACAGGTGGGTTCCTGCTCTGTAGATCTTCCCCCAAGGATGGAAAAGTCTCCTCCCTAGCCTAACCCCTGACTCCCTCCCCCAAACCCTACCAACTCTTGCTTCCCAGTAATCTCCTAATCCCAGGCTCCCCCACCCCCACCTGCTCTCTCTTATTTAAACTTGACCAATGGGCAGCTGGGAAGTGGGTAGATTTCACATCTTTTGAGACTGCCTGCCTGCATCTCCTTTGGCTCCCCCAAATTTCCACAGGCTGTGGTGTGAGCTCATCCACTTCCTGGGCCTGGCCCCTGAGGCTGGGAGCTAGGGAGTCTGTCCTTTTTCTGGCCCCTGTCTCCCCCAACGCTCAGATGCCTCATCTGAGTAAAAAGGGAAAATGTAAAACAGCGGGACTATAGTACTCCTCTAGCCTACCCCTGCTCCCTCATCTTAATACCTTGGGTCCTCACATCAGAACAGCATCAAAATGGGACTCAGAAAGGTGGATAAAGGCAAGAAGATACAGTAGAAGGGAAAGTTACTTCCAGAGAGGAAAGAGAAGTTGGAGAATTTAGTGGGTAGCTGAAGGGAAGGCCAAGAATTCGGAGACAGGACCCTAGGAACAGAACACAAAGTGATCTCTTTGGCCTCTGAGCTCCTTAGGAGCTCTTCCTTGGGTCTGGAAGGTCCTTCCCATTCCTGGCCCCTTTCCCCGGGTCAGCACCTACTCCCCTCTCCCTTCAAGAGCCAGCACTCCAATACTCAAAAAACCCACCCTGACATGAGGATGAGGGGCTTCCTCTCTGGCGGCTCCCCTACCCTCACCCAGAACGTGAATTCTGGGTGGAAATGACTGTTTCCAGGTTTTCTGTGAAGTCTGTCTTCCCACATATGTTGACCCCTTGAGGTCAGGATCTGTCATTTATTCCTCATGTTATCACCAGAAGCTAGTGTATAGTAGAAATAACTAACACTTTTACCTTATTTACATTATCTTAAGTTTTTTACATACACCAACTCCTTAAGATCCTCACAACAACCCAGTGAGACAAGTATTATTGTTATCCTCATTTTAAAGATACTGAAACTGGGGCGCCTGGGTGGCTCAGTGGGTTAAAGACTCTGCCTTCGGCTCAGGTCATCTCAGGGTCCTGGAATCGAGCCCCACATCCCCTGCATCGGGCTCTCTGCTCAGCACGGAGCCTGCTTCCCCTACCCCCTCTCTCCGCCTCCCTCTGCCTGCCTCTCTGCCTACTTGTGATCTCTGTCTGTCAAATAAATAAATAAAATCTTTAATTAAAAAAAAAAAAGATACTGAAACTGTGGGGCGCCAGGTGGCTCAGTCAGTTAAACATCCAACTCATGATTTCAGCTCAGGTCATGATCTCAGGGTCATGAAATTGAACCCGGAGTTTCAAGCTCAGTGGGGATTCTGCTTGGGAATTCTATCCCTCTGCCCTCTCAGGTGCTCTAAATAAATGAATCAATCAATTAATCAATCAATCTTTAAAAACAGTTACTGAGGGGCACCTGGGTGGTTCAGTGGGTTAAAGCCTCTGCTTTCAGCTTAGGTCATGATCCCAGGATCCTGGGATGGAGCCCCACATCGGGCTCTCTGCTCAGCGGGGAGCCTGCTTCCTCCTCTCTCTCTGCCTGCCTCTCTGCCTACTTGTGATCTCTGTCAAATAAATAAAAATCTTAAAAAAATAAATAAATAAAATAAAATAAAAACAGTTACTGAAACTGAGGCACAAAGAGGTTAAGTACTTGGGGCACCTGACTGGCTCAGCTGGTAGAGCATGCAACTTTTGATCTTGGGGTGGTGAGTTCAAACCCCACCTTGGGCAAAGAGCTTATTTAAAAAAATAAAAAAATGTTGAGTAATTCCTCAAGGTCACATGACTGGTAAGTGGTGGAGCAAGATAGCCTAGCTACTGAGTAGCTACAGAGTAGCTACACTACTGGGCATCTCATGAACATACTAGATATTCAATAAGCATTGGTTGTATTAAACAACCAAACCATGCTGTAAGTCAGTTTGACCACAGTGTAGAATCCCCAGTGATGTATGAGACCCTATTGTAATTCAAAAGGGGCTTCTGCCTATGACAAACATTTATTTATTTATTTTTTAGAGAGAACAAGAGCAGAGCATAAACTTGAGTTGGGAGAGGGGTACAGAAGGAGGAAGAGGGAGATAGAGAAACTTAAGCAGTCTCCACGCCCAGCACAGAGCCCAATGCAAGGCTCCATCTCATGAACCTGAGATCATGATCTAAGACAAAATCAAGTCAGATGCTTTTTTTTTTTTTAAAGATTTTATTTATTTATTTGACAGAGAGAGAGAGAGAGATCACAAGTAGGCAGAGAGGCAAGCGGGGCGGGGGGTGGGGGGGTGGCAAAGCAGGCTCCCTGCTGAACAGAGAGCCCCATGCACTGCTCGATCCCAGGACCCTGAGATCATGACCTGAGCTGAAGGTAGATGCTTAACCAACTGAGCCACCCAGGCACCCTACCTATAAGAACACCAACTCTGGAGCCAGATAAGCCTGGGTTCAAATCCTTGCTCAGTTGCTTATTACTGTGCGACCTGAGTTGTTAATAGTTTTCTCATTTGAAAAATGTGGATAGTGAGAGGATAGTTGGGAGAATTAAATGAACTAATATGGGTAACACTCTTAGAAGGTTAAGGTGGGAGAGAGCAAGAAATCGAAGGCTGAGCTCCTGCCCATGATGGTTGTAGTTGCTGCTTCTGGGAATAAATAATTAGAAGGTAAAACAGAATGAAATAATGCTAGAGGAGGGCCCATTGCTTGCTGGGTCAGGGATTATTCGTTGGGTCCTAGTGAGACAGGGAAGTCTTTCAGAAGATTGCAAATGGACTGGTGTTGTAGAATAAGTTTGGCTTCAATGGGTAGAGAACAGTAAACAACATTCTAAACGGAGGGGGGAAATGTAAGTAAAAGTCTGAAGGAGTAAATTGCATTTGGAGTTGAAAAGTAGCTTGGACTGGATGAGTACAATGTGGACAGATGACCACGAACCATGACTTCTTGAAACACCCAGATTCTGGGTGTTTGTTTTATTTTGTTTTTTGTTTTTGTGCTTACACTTTTGTATCTCTGACACCAGTTCCTGGCAACATTGTGGCAATAATGATGGCTACCTGGTATTTAGCACACCTGTTTAATCTCATTTAATCTTCAACAACCACCCCACAAAGTGGAGTTTATCATTCCCATTGCAGAAAAACAGACTGACACTCAAAGAAGATCATTTACATGGCAAAGATCATACAGCTTGCAAGGGGCAGAATTCAAATACTATTCTCTCTGACTTCAAAGTCTATACACTTTCCACATATTTGCTAATCAATGAATGAGTACAACATTCAGTCTGAGGGGGCCCGATCTGAGATGACATTTGGAAATGAGAATGACTGACACCTGGATTCTACCTTTTCTTTTTTTTTTTTATTTTATTTATTTATTTGAGAGAGAGAGAGAGCACAAGCAGGGGGATCAGCAGAGGGAGTGGGCAGACTCCCTGCTGAACACGGAGCCTGATGCTGACCACGGAGCCCGATGCAGTGCTCGATCCCAGGACCCTGGGATCATGACCTGAGCCAAAGGTGGACGTTTAACTGATTGAGCCACCCAGGCACCCCTGGATTCTACCTTTTGCATTTGGATATGGTAGCTTGAAGTTTTTATTCCAATTTAAGCCATCATCCACACAATAGTGTGAAAGCAAGACCTGAGTATTGTTCTTGCTGGAAGTAAGAGAGCTGGGGGCTCTGGGGAAATGGGGGTAGGGGCGTTCAGTAATGTACTAGAAATGACTTATATGGGCTCATGAGAACAAATTATGAACATCTCCCAACTCCGCATCCAGTGATGTCACATGAATAGTTTGAAATTGGCCGTGGTGGGAGAATTTAAACCACAGAAATTGGCAAAAACTACGAATCGGGATTTATTTCCCTCTGGAATCCAGTTGCTAAACATTTACCAGCATACCACTGCCTGTGACCTAAAACTACAAGTTATCTGCCTCCCACACATCTAACATACAATGCTGATACAGGGACAGGGTCACCATAACAGATACTCCTGTTCAGTACGGGAGACAGGGGAGTGGGGGACACAGACCCGTGACTGATCCATGAAAGTTCTGATATCCAGCCAGGCACATATCTCAAGTCTCCCCTAAATCCAGAATTCCCTTGGTTAGGGCTTAGTTCTACTCCTTGGTAGGATTTTTCTCGCTTCTTAAGGAGAGCCCACCAGTGTTCTCCTTGACTTCTAGATCTGTCCCAGCCCTTGGCTCCACCCTCTGAGATGTCTTTCCTTTTAAATTGGAAATGACATGTGTCTGTGGCTGAGCGGTTTTCTCAGCCTGCTTCCGGGCCAAAGAGGTTGGGGGCCCAGAGACCTCTTTTCACTTTGAATCATCTCTGGCCCTTTTAGTCCAAACTTGAGCTGCTTTTGCTACTAAAATTCTCTGTAAAACCCTGTGGGCCTTCTAAATAACAAATTGTAATCTACTCAGTTAGACAAAAAGTCACTCAACTTGATATCAAGACAGACCCCTCTTTAGGTTGCAAGTCAAGGTGTTATGGATTGATAGATACTCTTAAGATCCTTAGAAACCCTATTGTCTAGTTGAGAGGATCTATAGAACATCATCTTAATTTTTTTTAGATTTTAACAAAGTGTAAGATCTTAACAAAGGGTCTTATAGTTGTCCCATTATTAAATGTTTTGATCTTCACTCTGAGGCCATATATTACTGGCAATCCCCTGGATTTGATTTTTACCTCAAGATCATTTCTTACTTTAAGAATCTTTTGCTAGACAGAGAGGTGAGGAATGAAAAAATATCTTATTGTTCAATCTAGCAAGTCCTTTTGGAAATATTTTCTCTAAATTCTGCTTGAAAATTGAACAGTTCCTTTTTTAGTTCATCTCACTCCTGAAATGCCTTATCATAGGCAGCTAAAATAAGCCAATTGGCACTTTCAGCATTCTGCCTGGAAATATCTTTAGCTAAATTCGCAACTTTGTTAGATGCCATTTCTAGCTTCCAAGTTACCACAGATGATAGCCAATACATAACACAGGTTCCCCTTTCTCCAGGATCTGATAACAATTTCTTCACTGCTCTTCCTACCTTCACTAACAGTCTCCTCACCATCCTTCCAACCTCTGCCTGCCACCCAGTCCCAAGGCCAAGGCTACAAATTTTAGGTCTTTGCTATGGAGCACCCAAGCACTCTGTTACTTATTTCTGTTTCAGTTACCTGTTAATATAACTAATCAGCACAAACATAGAGGCTTAAAACAAGAAATTCTATATTTATGATGATTTTTGTGCTTTGACTGGACTTATCTGGGCAGTTCTTTAGGTCCATCTGAGGAGTAGTTGAGGGCACTGAGGTAACTGCCTTCAGTCAGGAGCTTAGATGGGGTTAGAACATCTAAGATGGTCTCTGATCCTCAAAGTCTCTCTCCACATGGCTCCTCATCATCCATTAGTCTAGCCCAAGTTTCTTTAAAACATGGTAGATGGCTTCCAAAAGGGTGAAACATCATTATGTATGTACTTATCAAGTGTCTGCTTGCACTATGGTTGTCTCATTGGCCAAGTCAAGTCACATAGCTATGCCCAGACAATATGGAGAGGGATGGCACAAAGCCATCAATACTGGGAGGTGTTCTTCACTGGGGGCCAACAATGTAATAATCTACCATAGTCCCTGATGTTTATGCGTTCTGCCTGCCATAACTAAGGTAACTTAAGAAATTCTAATGGTAGGGGCACCTTGGTGGCACAGTTGGTTAATTGTCGAACTCAGGTTGTAATCTCAGGATCATGAGATTGAGCCCTGCGTCTGACTCCATGCTCAACATAAAGTCTGCTTGGGAGTTTCTCTCCCTCTTCCTCTGCCCCTCCTGCTTGTGCCCTCTCTCTTTGTCTCTCTCTCTAAAATAAATGAGCAAATCTTTCAAAGAGAGAGAGATTCTAATGGTGGGGTGCTTAATGACATAACAAGATAAGTTGAGCCAATCAGACTTTTCATCAAGGATTTGGAAATTGGTACACTGGAAGATCATGTCACTTTAGTTTTGAGGAGCTGAGTAAAACATTCTGTAGACTCAGGAGCTGGGGCCACCATTTTAGGACCTGAAGACACTGACAAGCAGAAGAAGTAGATCCACAGGAAGAGAAGAATGGAATAGACTTATTTAGAGACACCAAGATGGTAGACGTCATGATGAGTTTGAAAGCTGTCAAGAGCAGCCTTAGTCCTGACTTTCCAATTCACATGAAGCCTAGTTGAAGTTTCTGTTCATTCAACAATTGTTTATTGAGCTTATTATGTACTCGGTACTAGAGAAACTGATAAACCATACAGGCATAATCTCTACCTTCATGGAGTTTATGTTCTAGATGGAGGAGTAGCGGGGAGGAGAAGGGGAGGGGAAGCACATAGTAAACAAATGAACAAAAAAAAACAAGATGACTACAGAGAGTCATAGCAGCTATAAAAATAGTTAAACAGGATGATGCGTTAGAGAGACGGAGGTGGAATTGAAGGCTGGTTTAGATAGATTGGTCAGAGAAACCTCCACAAGAAGAATATATTTGAGCTGAATGCCAAAAAGAAGCCAGTCAATCAAAGATCTTGGAAAGACATTTCAGACAGGGGGAAGCACAAGTGCAAAGGCCATGAGGTGAGTCCATGTTTAGTGAGTTCAAGGAGCAGAAAAGAGACAGTATGGGTAGAATATAGTCATTAGATGGCAGAATGCCTAATCATACAAGTTTTCTGTGTTAAGGGGCATAGATTTTATTCAAATAGCAATGGGAAGCCTTTGAAGAGTCTGAAGCTGAAGAGATTAAGCTGAACAGATTTACGTAATAAAATGCACTCTGGCTGATATATAGAGAATGGTTTGGGGGACAAGAGTGGACCACTTGGGAAGGTATTGCTATAATTCAAGAAAAAGGTGATTGTGGGTTGAACTAATATGTAGTAAAGGAGCCAGGTAGGGGCACCTGGGTGGCTCAGTGGGTTAAAGCCTCTGCCTTCGGCTCAGGTCATGATCCCGGGGTCCTGGGATCGAGCCCCACATCGGGCTCTCTGCTCGGCGGGGAGCCTGCTTCTCCCTCTCTCTCTGCCTGCCTCTCTGCCTACCTGTGATCTCTGCCTGTCAAATAAATAAATAAAATCTTAAAAAAAAAGGAGACAGGTATAAGTGAAATTATTTTATGAATTGTAGATAGAGTTAGCAGATCTGGCAGATAATTTTATTTTTTTATTTTTTAGAAAATTTTATTTATTTATTTTGAGAGAGTATGCACAAGTGGAGGGGAGGGTCAAAGGCAGAGGGAGAGGAGGAATCTCAAGTAGACTTCATGCTGAGCATGGATCCCAATGTGGGGTTCCATCTCATGACCCTGAGGTCATAACATGAGCCAAAATCAAGAGCCAGATGCTTAACCAGCTGAGCCACCCAGATGCCCCAGATCTTGCAGATAATTTTAAAGTGGGGGATGAGGGTAATCAAGGTTTTGGCTTAAGCAATGCACTTATAGGGAAGTGGGTTATAGGTTGGAGAAGGAATAGGTTTGGGATAAGGAGGGATAAATCTAGAGTTTATCTGTGAACTTGAAAAGTTTGAGATATCACTAGATAACCAAATAGAATATCAGATCAGCAGCTGGAAATACAAGCCTGAGGATCAGGGAGAGGTCAGGGCCAGGGATATATATATTTGGGAGTCATCAGCATACAGATGGAATAGAAAGCCATGGGAATTGATGATAGCCTTCTAGAAACAAATATACAGAGTGAAAAGAAGGGAGCTCAGGACCTTCAACATACAGAGGTCAGGCAGAGGAAGAGGAGCTGTCAGCAAGAGACTAAGATAAAGTGGCCAGAGTCACAAAAGTCAAGAGAAGGAAATATTTCAAGGAGGGAATGATAAATGTGTCAAACACTGCTTAAAGATCAAATAAGATGACTATAAAGAGGTGAAACCACTGGAATCGGCAATATGGAAAGAGTTGGTGATCCTGGCAAGAGCAGTTTCAGTGGAGTGGAGGGAACAGAAACCCAATTAAGGTGTTTCAGTAGGGGCAGGAGAAGGATGAAGAGAGAAAATTGGAGAAAAGTAATAGTGACAGGAGACATACATAGACTCATTGTGGTGAAAGACTGGATATGGGCGGTGAGGGGGTGCTCACAGAGTTTCTAGTGGTGATAAGGAAGGTAGTGGTGCCCCCAATTCTAAGAACAGAAAGAGGGGCGGATAGCAAGGAAAAGAATGATTTCCACTTAGGAAAAAATTGATTTGAATGTGCCAGCAGGACAGTCATGTGACAAAATTAAGCAGTTAGAAATTTAGACCTGAAGCTTGTTGATTTCCAGATCTATACATCCAGTCCAGAGGTGCAAAATGGTCTGGACTAGACATCCAGATTTGGGAATCACTGCCATAAAAATTGTGTTGGCTGACTATGAGTGTGGGTAAGAACTCCCTTCAGGGTAGAACAAAAGGAAATGAAGGTCAGAGACAAACTTTGGAGAACTCTTGCACTGAACAGATGGTCAGAGAAAGAAAAGCCAACAAAGAAAATCAAGGAATAATCGTAAGAGTTGTGTCATAGAAGCCAAGCAAGAAAAGATTTTCAAGAAAGAAAGGGTGGTCAACAATACTGCAGAGTTCCAGTATGCTGAGAATAACAAGGTAGCTGATAGAATTGACATTCAGAAGGCCATGGTGACTGGGGCTTCTTGTGTCCACAGGCCTCTCCAACATCAACCAGACTCGTCTTGATTTCCACTTCTCCTCTGACAGAACTGCTAGTGGCATGGAGATCCAGCAGGCCAGCCTCATGTTCTTTGTACAGATCCCTCCCAATACCACTTGGACTCTGAAGCTGAGGATCCTTGTGGTAGGCTTACGTGACACCAACCTCACCTTGGCCACTCAGCACCAGCTGGAGGTGGATGCCAGTGGCTGGCAGCGGCTCTCCCTGGGGCCTGAAGCTCGGGCTGCCTGCAGCCAAGGCCACTTGACCCTGGAGCTGGTGCCTGAAAGCCAAGGAGCCCAGAGCTCCTTCATACTGGGTGAAGCTGCCGATAGGCCTTTTGTGACAGCCAAGGTCAAAGTTGGGGGCAAGCACCGGCTTCACCGGCGAGGCATCAACTGCCAGGGTGGGTCCAGGATGTGTTGTCGGCAAGAGTTCTTTGTGGACTTCCGTGAGATTGGCTGGCACGACTGGATCATCCAGCCTGAGGGCTATGCAATGAACTTCTGCACAGGGCAATGCCCACTGCATGTGGCAGGCATGCCCGGCATTGCTGCCTCCTTCCACACTGCAGTGCTCAACCTCCTCAAGGCCAACACGGCGTCAGGAACTGCAGGAGGGGGCTCATGCTGTGTGCCCACGGCCCGGCGCCCCCTCTCTCTGCTCTACTATGACAGGGACAGCAACATTGTCAAGACTGACATACCTGACATGGTGGTCGAGGCCTGTGGCTGTAGTTAGTCCGCGTGTAGATGGGCAGCCCAAGGTGGGAGTAAGCAAACATACCCTCACAGAGGTACCCTTCATGGAGAGGAGGGAATGACCCCATTACTGCCTCTGTCCAGAAGGAGGACTCCCTCTTCCTGGGCAAACTGTGGAAATTATCCCATCTGTGGTTTGAGGAGATCTTCATCTAAGGAGAGTCACTGTACCATCTTCGTGACCACCAGTTTCTCTCCTAGGGCACAGTCTATCCAGCAAGCCTCCCAGGCTCAAGTGCCCCCCCAGGGATTCTGATCCCACCTGCAACCATGAGCAGTGCCATCTCGTTCCCAGGCAAAGCCATCCATAGCCCATCCTTAATCCATCCCATAATCCGAGGTACTTCCCTGCTCTTCCCACTTGATGGCCGTCACTCCAGGATGAGTTGACCCAGCCCCTTCCCCTGATTTTCAGGATTACCAGAGAGCCCCTTCCTTAGATTCACTGAAGATTAGATCCCTGCTGTCCAAAGTTACTCTTCCCTGTATCTGGAGCCCCTTATTGGCCCTGGTGGGTTGCTAAGGCTCTCTTGGCACACCCTCATCCATTCTTTGTCCTTCTCTGCCCCGCTCTATGCCCTTAAGGGCTGACTCACCTCAGCTCCTTTGGTCCCCGGCTTCCTGCTGAATTTGGCTAAGGGCTGACACAAGCAGGAGATCAAAGGATAGGGGGAGATAGAGGTCAGGATATTTCTTATTCCTGTTCCCTCTGCCTAGGTGCCATGTATCTGTGTGACTGTGGTTGTGATCTGTCCCTACAGCTCCTATCGGGCTCCCCCGGCCCCAGTTCTACCTAGATTCTGATATCACTGCTTCCGCACTAGGGGCTTATAAGGGCTTTCCTCTCTTGCTAGTCTCTGGGAGCTTCAACATTCATCCTTCATTCTCTAAACCCTGCCTATACTTCCATAAATAAGGTCTTCATTAAGTCTCTTAGTGATGCAAACACAGACAACTGAATGGTTCTTTTGTCTCTTGCCAGGACCCTGGCTGAAACCGAGGATGACCCAGTGTCTACCCACCTGGCCCACTTCTGCTCTCTCTCACCCAGGCTCCTCAGGGCCAGGCTATTATGTCTATCCCACACTTCATGCCTCTTCCTTTCCTAGCTTCCTCCTCTTCTTTCTTAGGCCTCCTCCTCCGCCCCAGAACCATCTTTGCTGGTCTCAGAACTAATAAAGACTTAGGTTTTATCTGCTCTTCTTCTCCCTCCATACTCACTCTAAGAGATGAGACAGATCATTGCTCAGTCAGCAAGTAGGTTGACATCCTAGGAGCACACATGTTGGGGGAGGCAGAGGCAGGGCTCAGAGTTGGCTGGTGGCTTTCCCTCACTGACCCCCAGGGCTCCATCCAGGAGACCTGGCCGGAAGCTGGAACTGGCCAAGAGCCACTTGCATGGGACAGGGTGAAGAAAAAGAAGGCATGGAATGCGGAGGGGAGGAATTTGCTCTGAGACTAGGTCCCCTCTAGACCTTTGCCCTTCTTTCCCCATCATCTCCTCCCTTTGGTTAGACAGCCCTGAACCATGGGGTCGATATTGTCTGCAGCCCAAGGCCGAGTTTGCGCAAAACCCACGTGTCCTTTGGGTAACGTGATGTCTGTGTTTACTCAGTGTATAACTCCCTCCTCCCAGGGTCTGAGGTCCCTGGAAGAGGAACCGTAGAGGAGAAAGTCTGAAGGTGATCTTCTTAGGCAACCTGCATATCTGAGACGTGGGACTTCCTGAACAACCCACAGAAGTCATGCCATCTTTGCCTGGAGGAGATCTTCATCTAAGGAGAACATCTAAGGAAGTCTTCTGTGCCCCTTCCTCACCCTCCCACGGTGTCTCCTCTCCCTACAAGCCACCCCTTCCCTAGATCTGACTTCTCTCCCTCCAACTCCAGCTTCAGTCCCTGGGGCCAAGATTAAGGTGAGGTGAAGTAAGGCAGTCACTTTGGGGGACAAATTGTAAGGGGATGCCAAGAAATTCATCAACTGAGATAAATGATATCTCAGTGTTATGTTTTTAAAGCAGCAAAATGAATGCCAAAAAAATCCATCATGAGCAAAACAACAAATTTTAAAATAAACACAGAATCAGTATTAACTCCATTTCTTTTTGGCTCTGCCTGTTGTAAAAGGGAAAGAGTGGGTCTGTCTTCTTCCAAACCTTGCTTCCAAAGCCTCTTGGCCCCTAACTCTAGACTGTGTCAGGCTTTTCTCATGTGGGCAAGATAACCACTCGGCTTCTTCTCCCTTCTTACCCGCCCCCCGAGCCTGTCCCTCCCCCCCAGCACCCAACCAGGTTGGTAGGGCGGGCCTGTGAGGCAGATGGCTGGGGTATTTATAACCTGGGAGAACTTCTTGGGGAAAGTGACTAAGATGCTAAGAGCATATTTATAGCTGGGTTCTGACGTAAGTGTCAGTGGGGAGGTAGGGCCAGGCCAGGCACAGCAACAAGAGGGTAGGAAGAGCCGAAAATTGGGGGCACCTGATAGAGAGTAGGGGAGAAGAGGAGTCAGTGACTCCTGCAAGCACTTGATGCTGCTTCCCTTGACTCTGTCTCCTGGCCCCAACAGATAAGCCCTCTGAGACACCACTATGGGCAGAAACTTCTTTGCAGTTTGATGTTCCAGACCCCAGGGGTAGAGGACTCCTTCTCACCAGCCTCAACCAACAGAGAGGTTGCTCAGAATGGGGAAGGAGAGGACTGGACAGAGAACTTGAATATGTTTCTGCCTGGGGAAAAATGTAGGAAGGACAGGAGGGTCTAAAAGTCTCCTTGTCCCTTCTCTACCGCGGCGTCCCCTGCCCCCCAGCACACAGTGCCCTGGGTTTCTAGGATGTGCCTGGCACCTGTCATCAAGTTCCACCGCCACGTGTCAATGGGATGAGGTCTAAAACCAAAGGTAGCGGTGATTTGGGGCCCGACGACAGCTCTGCTCTTTGGTAGTGGCGAGAGGGGAGAGCACGGGGACTGGCTTCTCTGTTTTCTGTGGGAGAGGCAGGGTTCCCAGAGGGAGAGGTTGGAAAGCCCCGTGCTGCTCCCCACTCCTCAGAGCAGCCCATTCCCTGGGAAGCTGGTCAGCACTAAGCCAGCAGCCGTCCAGTGGCACTACACTGCCACATGCTGGACACCGCCGGTACTGATCCCCAGCCCCCAAAGCGCCACCTTTCTCCCCCTGGTGCCAAATCTGGGAGTCTCTTGGCAGCCCCCCCACTGGCTACACAGGTGGGAGCTTAATAAGATGGAGTCGCGGCATGTGTCCAAATCACAGTCTTCTAGCTTCTTGAAGAAACTGTGGGCATAAGGAGAAAGGCCAGCATTAAGTCTACCCTCATAAGTTCAAGGTGGAGGGACCATGGCCTTCCCATTTTGTCAGTGAGGAAGGGCTGGGATTGGAGCTAATGTCACCCCACTTATTTTGCTTTGCTCTTCAAAGTCCTTAAACCTCCCATGTCCTGCCCCCTTTCACGGAGGCCTCGAACCACTCCTAGGATGTCCCGAATTTACGTAACTCTCACAGTCCCCTCAAAGAGACCCAGCATGTAGGTATGGGTGCTCCCAAGTCCCACGCCCTTCTGCCAGCCTTGATGGACTGTGTCCTGTTGTAAGATTGCATCACTTTCTCCCCTACCTCTCTGGGTTACCCCCGACATCATAGGAACACGCCCCACCACCACCACGCTCCAGCCCTCCTCCACGCTGTGCTCCAGTCCAACTGGACTCTGGGCAGCCAGCATAAGCAGGGTCAGGAGGTGACTTCTGTGCCCCGTGGCACTGCCACCTTGGCCTGGGCAGGAGGACTCCGTTCCTCTCCCCCTTGTCCCAACCCCATTGCTAGGAAGAGAGAGACCAGAGTTCTTCCGGCCCAGAGACCCTGGAGAAATAACCAGTGGAACTAACAGCTGCCTCTAAGAACTGCTACAGCGGAGGTGTCTGGGTAAGCTAGAAGGACTAGAGGTATGGGGGGGAAATTGCCCTCCCCACCTTGCCCCTACGAGTCCCTCCCCCGAGCCCCAGACCTTGGGGACTGAGCATGTGAAATCATTCTCTTTCTTGCATCATGCGTGTCCACACTGCACCCCCACCCCCTTACCCATACCTCAAACTCAGTGACCAGGCCAGATGGTGAAACCCGAGCTCGGGGGGCGGGGGGGGGGGGGGTGGGGGGGGGTGTGGGGGCGTGGTGGAGGGGGACCTCCGCCCCCTGCAGGGCCCTGATGGGCAGTACAGCCAGCCAATCCCAGGGCTCAGAGGGTAGGTCTGCTCGCTGACCACTAAGTGAGGGAGCCCCGGGTTGTGGCTCTAAAGAGGCCCCAGTCAGTAACCAGCCATGAGCTGTGAGGGTCAAACTGGCAGACTGCGCTAAACACAGCCACGCATAGGACCATCCACATACTGCCTTCCTGAGTCCCAGGCAATAGAAGGCAAGTGGCTCTATCCTTGGCCGAGGCTGGGTGTGGCACAACCACTGCTGCCCCTGTGCCCTCATTGGCTTCCACGCAATCAGATCAACAGAAGGAGCACCTGCCATCCGAGGCTCCCGACCCAACCCAGGGCCATTCACCAGGAGCATGGGGCTCCCTGATGTCCAGCCCCAGCTGGTGCTGCTGTGGGCACTGGTGTGGGCACAGGGGGCAGGGTCTGTATGTCCCTCCTGTGGAGCTCCCACGCCGGTGCCCCAGGCAGAACGCGCTCTGGTACTGGAGCTAGCCAAGCAGCAGATCTTGGAGGGGCTGCACATGACCAGTCGTCCCAGAATAACTCACCCTCCACCCCAGGCAGCGCTGGCCAGAGCCCTCCGGAGACTGCAGCCAGGAAGTGTGGCTCCTGCAAAAGGGGAGGAGGTCATCAGCTTTGCTACCACCACAGGTGGGTGAGGGAGGGGCAGGCAGAGAGCAGACAGGGAGAGGGAGGCGGAAGGGGTGACAGACAGAAAAGGCAGGGTGTGGGAGGAGGAGGAGTTGACTGGTTGCACAGGACGCAGGACACAAGGCAGTCCCTGTGTCTTCTAAAGGGGCTCAGGAGAGCATCGGGCGGGGGTGGCAGGCATCTCAGAGGAGAGCTCATCCCTGCTCACATTCCTGCATCCCTTCTCCATCTCTCCGGCAGATTCCTCCACTTCACCCTGCAGCTCCACGCTCACCTTCCACCTGTCCGCAGCTCAGTCCCACCACCTGTACCACGCTCGCCTTTGGTTGCACGTGCTCCCCACCCTTCCTGGCACGCTTTCCTTGAGGATCTTCCGGTGGAGCCCAAGGAGCAGGCACCCAGGGTCCCGCAAACTCCTGGCTGAGCACCAGATGACGGCCCCGGGCTGGCACGCCCTCACTCTGCCCCCTAGTGGCTTGAGGGCCGAGGAGTCCGCCGTCCTGAAGCTCCAGATGAACTGCAGACGCCTAGAAGGCAACGCCACCTCTGCCCAGCAGCCTCTGCGGCTCCTGGACACGGCGGGAGACCAGCGGCCCTTCCTGGAGCTTAAGATCCGGCCCAATGAGCCTGGAACAGGCCGGGCCAGGAGGAGGACCCCCACCTGTGAGCCTGAGACCCCCTTATGCTGCCGGCGAGACCACTATGTAGACTTCCAGGAACTAGGATGGCGGGACTGGATCCTGCAGCCCGAGGGGTACAAGCTGAATTACTGTAGTGGACAGTGCCCCCCACACCTGGCTGGCAGCCCTGGCATTGCTGCCTCCTTCCATTCCGCTGTCTTCAGCCTCCTCAAGGCCAACAACCCTTGGCCCTTGGGTACTTCCTGCTGTGTCCCTACTGCCCGAAGGCCTCTGTCTCTCCTCTACCTGGACCGGGATGGCAATGTGATCAAGACAGATGTGCCAGATATGGTGGTAGAGGCCTGTGGCTGCAGCTAGCGAGAGGACCTGGGGATTTGGAGTAAAGAGATCGGTCAGGGGTTCCCAGGCAGAGGGCGTCTGTGGCAGGAGACATTAGATTCCTGATCCACACCCCCACCTAACAGGCTGGGTGGCCAGATGACTGGGGTGACCCCTAGGGGACCCAAATGGGCACTTGTTCGTCCAGACTCTTGCCTATTCCAGGCTAGCTGATGTGTAGGGAGATGGGGAAAGTGTGTTCTCTAAAGGAGTGTCCCCAGAAAGCATGGTTTCCTACCCTAAGCCCTCTGAGAAGGCGGCAGAGGTGAGGGAGGAGTGGAGGGAAGGAGAAGGCAGAAAAAAATTACTTAGTCTCTCACAAGAAAAGAAAGTCCTCAAGTGAGGGAAGCAGGCTTGGGACAGGGGAAGCAGGCTGGTCCAGGCTAGGAACTATGGAAGAGCTTCCAGGGAGGGTCAAGAAGGAGATGGGCAAGGGGCTAAGAGGAAGTAGGTTAGGAGAGCCCAAGAAATGGGAGCTGGGTGAGAGGGGTACTGAGCCTAAGAAGTTCCCTGATTTTTCCCAGTGTGGGGGACAGGACCCACGGGGGAGACAAATGTTTATATATTCCTAATAAAAATGAGGGGGAAAATCAACAAGCATGAGTAATAAAGAAGTGCTGGGGTGATAGTCCGGAGGGATAGTTTTCAAGGTGAGGTCTGAGGACCTTGGGAGGTCCCTGAGACCCCTTTCAGGAGTGTTCACAAGGTCAAAACTATTTTCATAATACTAAGATGGTATTTGCCTTTTTTATTTTCATTATCTGAAAAATATACAGTGGAGTTTTCCAGAAGCTATGTGGCATGTGATTACATCATCTTTTTGACATCATTGTTAATGGGATATGTGCTTGTATATTGTGTTACAAACTGTTTTCAGTTTTAATTTCTAAAATAGTAAATTGACATGAACCACATAAACAAAAATTCAATAAATTTTAAGAGTGTAAAGGCAGGGTGACTGGGTGGCCTAGCGGGTAAAGCATTTGACTCTTAATCTCAGGGTTCTGAGTTCAAGCCCAGTTTGGTCAGGGAGCCTATTAAAAACCAAAAAAAAAAAAAAAAAGGCACCTGGGTGGCTCAGTCAGTTAGGTGTCTGTGTTTGGCTCAGGTCATGATCTTGGGATCCTGGGATCAAGCTGGACATCGCACTGGGCTCCCTGCTTGGTGGGGAGTCAGCTTCTCCCTCCTCCTCTGACCCTCCCCCCTGCTGGTGCGCTCACAGAATCACTAATCTGGAGACCTGGGTGAGGAGGAAAAAGCAGCCTGCTTTAAAAGAGCTTCTCTGAAAAAAAAGGGCAAATGGCTAGGACAGGACCACTGGTCTTGCCTGACCTTCTGGGTATAATTGGTGTCCAGGCCAAAGTCATATGGGGGAGAGAGGGTCAACTAGGACTCCTTACTGTTCCTCTACAATTACTACCTATATTGGTAGGGCCTCAGACCTCTTCCTAGTTTCACCTTTTCCCCTTGACCCTCAGCCTGAACAGTTAACCTACTAACTCTCCAGGCCCGAGGAGGTGGTTCTTGGAAGCAGAGCTAGGATGGGAGAGGCCTGTCTGAGGGTGACAGGAAAGGAGGGGACTCTTTTTCCTCACCATGTTTTCTCCCCTTTCTCATAAAGATCAAATGGACTGAAATAGCTGCCCCTTCCCCTGCATCCACAAATCCGAAGGGGCAAGGCACTCCCCTCTCAGACACTACCGTTCAGTACTAGCAGCCTCTTCTAGTGTGCCTTTCCGTTTCTTTGGGCTCATGCAACCCCCTCCCTGGGCTCCTAACTGGGCTTTGGTGGGGTGACCCGTAAAGCCCCCTACTTCAGCTCCCAGGGTCTTCTCTGGGAGACTCCGAGCGTGTCATGTGCCAGAACGGCCAGCAGAGGGAGCAGACAGCCTGGAATTGCAGACAGCGAGCG